AGCCCTGGGAATAAAGAAGAATGAGGCTTATTCAGAAAATGTGAGTAGTCATATAACTGGAAGGAAAAGGTAAAAGGATGCATAGGTGGAGAATTTCTCAAAGAGCTGGACTGGAGAGGTGAGCAGAGATAAATCATGACCTTATGTGTTCCAGGAGTCATTTGGAAGGAGAATCCCCACTGAAATCCTCTATCATTCTAGTCTATTGTGTTTGTAACTCTACCAGGGGTTGCCAAAGTTTTTCTGTAAAGGACCAGATAACAAATATTTGGTTTGCATGCCATTTGTTCTCTGTCACAACTATTCAACTCTCCTGTCATAGCCTGAAAGCAGCCATAGACAATACATAAACCGATGAGCATGGCTGTATTCCAATCAAACTTTATTTACAAAACAGACAGCAGCCTGGATTTGGCCCATAGGCCATAGTTGGCCTCACCACTGGTCTAGAAGAGTCCCTCCAAAAAAATAGAAAATCATATTTGAAAATAATAAAGACAAACTGAACTCACATCTGCAATCATAGGGCAAGTTTTATCTGTCTGCAGAAGCTCATTATCACAGGTTAATAATTCTTCTTTGAGGAAGATAGCATTAAATGGAGAATTATTAATAGTAAATATATATATGCATATGTATAAAGGTGATTAATATCACAGATAATACATTAATTCTATTGCTTTCATCGCAAAATAGAAACCTCAAAATTGTCAAAGCTTGTAAAAATAAAAACTTTATATTTGTACAGAATTTTAAAGAATGCATTATATTGTCTTAAAATACCTCATGAAACTCGAAAACAGTATACATGTTTTAGCCAAATTATTCCTAGAAACCAGGAAAGTGCCTGGCCTGGCACAGAGAAGTTGTGTTTAAAGGCATTTAACTTTAAGCAGATACTACCTTCTCTCTTAACAATTAAAAAATTTGGTCCCACAGAGATTAAATGGTTTACCAATGTCACATTAACAGTGTCAGAGGCAGAACTAAAATCCAGATTATCTGACTCCTAGATTTTTAATTTAAGTTATACTCTAGAGTCACAGATATGAAAAAGTGTATAGGACTAAACATATAGTATAATTGATATTATACAAATACACCAAAATTATGAAATATTTTTTATGGAATGGACTTCAGATTTTTGTCTCTCAAATCTCTGTTTCGACAAAGAAATGCCTCCCCATTCTCGCTCCAAAAATGCCGTGTTCTTACAAGTGACCTTGCCTGTTGGCCTAGGATGTTTAGTGCACAGATGGGCATCTGGCCCAAACTAGGCGATAGAAGGGCTTCCCTGAATATTTTAGAATCTATCACTGAGAAAGAGACTGTAAAATATAAACTCGGTGACTGTCAGAGCTGTCAGTCTGTCACTGAGAAAAAGACTGTAAAATATAAGCTTAGGAGCTGTTAGCAGACATGTTCTATCATGCGAACTGGACAGCAAAGATATCCAGCTTCCGACAAGAAAGAATCATGAAGCTTGGATAAAAGTTGGAGTCCAGAGCACAGATATTTAACTATAATCTTATCCCTGGGTTCCTTGGAAAATCCCATGATCCTTAAAATATATTATTATTTCCATTTTGGTTTAAATTGCTTTGGTTTCTGTTTCTTGTTTTTTTTTTGCCAATTGAAAAGTAATAATTAGTACATAAAATCATTCAGTAGGCACATAGTCAATGCTTATGTGTGTTGATTTGATTTGAATCAAGAAAAAGTCTACACTAATAAAGTTAAAAGAAGAATTAAGGCAGCTATGCAGAAGAAAATATATAAAAATTACTCTCTTCTGAAATCTTTAGATACAAGACAAAATTTCCCAAATGGAAAATGTGTCTGAATAAATATGTTAGCTTGATGCCAAAGGAACCCCAGACATTGTTAACATCCATATGACGATGACTTAACTTGATTCAGAAAAAATTCTCATCTGCAGTCTTAAAGAGAAAATGCTGTGATGGAGGCTGATGACAAAATGAACTTTTCGCCACTGCCAAGATAGAGCAATTGAGTGGTGTGTGAAGCCAGCTCTCAAATGAGTCCGTTGACCTGTCTAGAGACCTTTCCTCTATATTAGTTCAGAGGTGGTCAAGGATCAGTGAAATGTGATCACCTGTCCATAGTTGATTTACAAATGAAAAATACTCCATTTGACAGGAATGGATTGGCCTACCCAGTTATATTTGGTGCTAAAGAATGCAAATAGAGAGACTTACTCCCCCTCAGAATCCCATTAGCATAGGGGATTTGTAAGAAATTTTC